CACTATTTTTCATTCTTTTCTGTCATTTTTGAGGCGAAATACCCAACAAGAAGTTTGTAAAAAAATGAATCCGCCTCAACAATATAGAACTTATCTACACTATCACTATATACAGGCGAGAGAACGATTTGCCCCTTTGGGGTCCCCAAAATTTAAAAAGTTTCACACACTCTGTAAGACTCAAGCCCTATGGATACTTTAACTCATTTAGAAGACATTGAAGCTCCTTACGAGAATATTTTTTCAAAAGTCGTTTTCCAACCGTTCGGTAAAGTCGATGACTACCTTTGAGCAGCGCAAATTTGTCGCCATCCACCCCTTAAGAAGGTCCCCAACCAGCGTCAAAATTCTCTGAATTTTTAAAAAACTCACGTATTTTCATTTTTCACACTGCTTTTCCTTTTCCAGCACAGAATATTCTTGTTGCTCTGCTGTCGGTCAGCGCATCCAGCCTCTGCATGTCCCATGATACGAACCAACTTCAGCGGCTTCGAGGACCCCCAAAAACCAATCCGCAAATTTTCACTTCTTCTGCTCGAACCATTGAACTAGTAGGCACGTGAACCTCCAGAATTCGTCGTTCTTGGTGGTCGACCAGGTCAGCGAGATGATTGCGCGTTTTTGTGAATATTTGAATTGCAAATCGGAGCCAATAAGGCTTCAAACTCAAATGGCCAGTCAATCAACTAATCAGTCGACACAGGATGATTTGGCCGGAAACCTGGTTTTATTTTGATTACCTACAGCGTAGCGTTCATGAGGTGCGATTTAGAGGGGGTACTTGCGTGCGGTTGCAATGCTTCATCGAAGACTTCAAGGAGAGCGGAAGGAAAATCGGAGAAACCACTCGGAGCTGGAAAATAACCAGTTGATCATTTAATTGTCTTGCAGATTAGGATCATATTCTTATTATCTTCTCAAAAAGTTACTGCAGTTCAAATCCAAATCATCTATTGACCTCAGCAGTGATGCGAAAATGCAATTTTCGTCCTGACCTATTAATTTTAATGCTGTTTATTATTACGTACAATTAAGTATCAAACTCGTTTTTTCTCATTTACTATCCGAACGTAATTTTCCATGACCCGACTGCAAAAAATTGTGAAAATTGCGTCTGTTGATTTTTAAACGACTAGTTCTTCAAGGTGAAAGGACTCTTTTGCTCCTGATTTTATCGCTACCTTCTTAAACATAGTGCTCTTCTGATTGAAAGCGATTTTGCGCCAAAACAATGAAATTTCCAGTAAAACTGTGCGGAAACTCTTAGTTGCTCCTGTTAATCTCGCTACCTCCTGGAACAAGCAAAAGAGCACATTTTCCAGCAAAAGCCTCCCGTTTGAGAGCTGCTATGCCCAAATTTGAAATAGCGGAACGCTAACGTTAAAACTTCTTAAGTTAAAACTTAACGATTCATTGGCAATTTTGTCCGGACAATAAGGAAATGGAAGACTGCCATAAAAAAATGCATTCTACATGCACCCCTGCGAAAAGAATCGCTCGCATCGCATCGCGCAGCTCGGTCGCCTTTTTGCACGGACTATTGGTAATTTTGAAGGAAAATCCTATGCTGTTTACCGAATGCTTTAACTGAGTTTATATGCATTCAAACTTTCCTAAACCACAGCGCTTCGCTTCATTAAAACTAATCCTGCTTAGCGATTCTTCCTAATGCTAATTCAACCATAACACGAGGCGATTTGCATGCAGACCATCAAATGGGATTCCTGGCTCATATTTTACCGCTCTTTAAATGGTAAACAAATCTACTGACTGCTTTCATCTTGAAAGCGAATATTTTAACCATAACTTAAACATTAATTTTTCAAAGGGAAACTTTCGGGTGATTGGCTTATCTGCTAGTAAGTACTAGAGGTGGGATATTACTTCTTCTGCAATAGCCGCAACCAATATGGCACAGCAGCAGTAGTAGCAGAAAAATATATTTTTGCGTTTAAAGCCGGAAAGTTGGGATAAACGGTTATTTTTCTGTAACAAGGTTCCAACGTTCCATGTTGGTAATAGGTTTCAAAATGCGGTTCCAAAAGGAACATGTTACTTTTAAAATTTTTCATTAAACATGCGCAATGATGATAGTAGAAATAGTAATGACAAATAATGATTTCGTTTATTAAAAGAATAATTCTTAACTAAAGCTCTTAGTTAAAATAAAATATTCTCAAACCTAAAGAACAAAAGAACTGATAATAAACTAGATAAAATATATAAATAAAAACTGATTAAACAAAATATACGCTTTATTTGCAAAAATATTCAAAAATCTAATTTTTATTTAAAAATGAATTAACGTTTAAAAATAAAAATTTTTGCAGGTGATTTTTACTGAAATATTTATGTTATTTTAGCGGTTACGTTAAATACCAACCATCCCTACTAAGTACCTATACAACCATACAAGCATGCATGCTAACAGGGCATTGTCCAAAAAACTTGAACGCCATTGCTTTTATCCATTATTCCGTTGCAGAGAGCCATTATCCAGTTTATCCACTAATTTTTGGCAAAAAAAAATTTTTTTTTTCAAACTATTCCTTGACCGGTGGACAAATATGGTAAAGTTACATGACAAATCAAATTTGATTGATTGAAGAAACATTTCCTCTTTGAGCTACAGGGGGAAGACGAAGAAGTTTGTGCAGGCCGTTATGGAAGGGAAATTTTCAAAATTGAATAAAATTATCAAATGACATTAGAATTGGTTATTGGGATGCTAAAATCCGGATTTTTTATGGCTAAATATCCCAAAGCGATATATTTGCATTACGTTTTCATAGCTTCCATGAATTCAAATTATCTCATTACGTTCTAATTGCTATACAGCAAATTTCGGGGGTCGAAAGAAAAATTACGACTAATGAATGTGTTGAACGAAAATCACATTGAATTAAAAATGCATATTTATTACCGAACGGTGGAAAATACCCACTTGAACGAATCGTGAATAAAATAGAGGACTCTTGAATTAATTATCAATCACGTGCCATCAAAGCGGGTAATTTCAGTTATCTCGATATTTCCAACTAAACATGCCGGATTTCACAACAAGCGATTTTCGGACTGGCTGGAACTCCGGCTATGATCCCGACATTCACATCTCAAAAAAACCATCTTTTTGTTGGGTCCTTGTTGGAATTCCATCCATGTTTGCGCCCTGTGAGACGCCAATTCCTAATGGATTTTAAATCGAAAATTTCTTTTACCTTCCATTCACGGTGTCGCCAATGGAGAATAGCAAATAAATCCATTAACAACAAACCGAGCGGTGTTTTGGTCTGCGGAATTAAATTTTCCACCTTAAATATTTTCCTTTTCATGGACGTGCAACGACAATAAGGCATTTGAACCACGCACCGTCTGTATATACAGGACGCGAATTAGTTGGGTCGGGTCGAGCTTTGGCTTCACAAAAAGAAAACGTTGTTTTGGGTTGAAAAATTCAGTCTTCTGCCCCGAAGCAGTGAAACAATCCGATTCTGAAGCAGTGTGCCCACATGCTAATCCTTGCTTCATTCTGGAAATAATGTCTAAAAAATTGCTATATAAATCACCCAAAACGTCATTCGTGTATAGAATATATTCGCTTTTGTTAATAGTTCAAAAACATATCTTTATTACCATTTTTCAATTTGCTAAAATAATCTTCTGTTAGTTTTTTAAATTTGAGAAAACAATTTCAAGAAATTATCAAGTCAGTCACTTTGAAATCATCTATAAGATGGAAGCAAATACAAAAGTCTGCGGGTAGAAACAGGAAGCAACCGTTAAACCGTTTGCAAAAAGTGGGGGTGGTTTCAAGTTTCAAATCCAACAACAGCATCGCGTAAATGGAGCAACCGTTGCGAAGTTAGCCGCAAACATATTTTTAATGCCACGTTGCCACTAGAGCTATAGTATAGTATATTTTCAATGTTGCTGCTGTTGATTATCTCATATGAATCATTTTTTATAAGATGCCCTTTATATAATTATTATCACGTATTATAAATATTTTCATAAAATGTTTTGGAATGTTCATGTTAAAATATGTCGTATTTGTCTTACTGAACCTCCAGTAAGAGACGTCAGTGCGTATTTCTTTCTAGTCACAACGGAATTTATCTCCTACCAATTATAATTATAAAACATTTTGAAAGCGACGTAAATTTATCCAGCGGGTTAAAATCAGGCAATTTTTATGAAACTTCGCACCTTTAAAGCAAAATGTCTCCAACAGATAGTCAAATTTTGACATATCTGTTTGCATTCTTTAGCAAAATGCGAACTTTTATAAAATAGAGCGCAGTCGACGTAAACATCCCTTTGGACAAAAACCAGACGATTTTCCTGAAACTTTCAGTGCCCTTAGCAAAATCTTAGAGTCCTCTAGCCCACATCCTGATAGTGCTCACCACTACGCCCAGAGGGTGCTTCGCGCCCTTACCAATGTGGCTGTCACCAATAGTTTGATAATCTGTAGCTGTCACTGCCGTCACCAAAAAAATCCTCGACGGGCGAGGTCATCTCGGCGCCATTTTGCTGGCCAGAGTGGAACAGCGACATCTACGCAAGTGGTTCGAGCGTTGTTGCTGGGTTGAGGGCCTTAATTTATAGATATCTGTCACGCAGTGTCATTTGGCGGTATTGCCAAGGCGTTCAGAATTTCTATGAAGCTGCAAAGCTCATAATTTATTGGTAATCGGCATAAACAAATTACTATRTGATATTACACAAATCTTGATTTTTATAATTATTTATATGGTTGTAGATGTATTAGTTGCWAGAATACTGTCTTTCTAMGCAAGAAAAWATTGATACTTTGTCAATAATCGGTTTATCAGTGGTGTGATATCCCGRGTGTGACAATYCAGCACTTTTCCATGATTGACATTGGGGACAGAAGACAACTGCTGCTTGTCTTTATCTATGTTTATCTCTGGTTACGTGCACGACGTGTTTTTCGAAAACTTGAGAATATTAAAAATCCGTATATCCAAATAAATATGAGTCAAAATATAAAAACCGTGCTGGGTGCCTCAGTAGTATGATGTGCCTTCAAGACGGTAATTACGGTATAATTATGGCTTAAAACCCCGCAAAAATGTAAAGGAATGTTGGTGTTTAATTGAAATACTTTTGATTATTTTATTATTTCGTGTTCTATACATACAGGTGATGCCGCTGTTCTGGACTTGAGGCATTGAAAACGCTAGGGATCACGTGAGAAAACCACACACGAAAAATTTTCGCATAAGAGAAAAGTAAGGTTGTCTGAACCATAGATTAACTAAGTAGGCCTGAACCTAATTGCTCTTCTATTAATGTAAAACTATTATCTGTATTTTTTAATTTTCATCGATTTCTATTTTGCGATTAGAATGCTTTTTTGGATTGACGGAGAGCAACAAAAGTAAAATGAAGCAATTGTATCAATGCAAATTGCCATAATTGTATTTGAACACAATAGAATAATCTGTGAATGAACGAAAATACTCGTCTATCAATGTAAAACTATTAACTGTATTTTGTTATCTAACTTTTGACCAATACTAAAATTTGTAATTGCTTATAGAATTTTTGTTATGCGCTTATTGCGAAGCACTTTAATTGGGATTAAGAATTATTAATGTTCAATCTGATGTATTTATATATAAATGTGTCTGATTGGATAAGCATTTCTCAATCTCGGTTAAAGTATGCACCCAATCCAATATAATTTAAAAAAGTTATAGACATCCAAAAGTAGATATCTATACCAATCCAGAAATGGAAACTACAGGTTCCTGTATTCACAGCTGATTTTTCGGTTTGAGGGGAAAATTTTGCACTGTCCAACAGAATAGATGGCGCTGATGCATCTCTGTCCCGTGTCTAGTAACTGTTAGAGGGCTATCTATATCAGTGTTTATCAATGGGCGAGGTTCTGTTTACAAAACAATGTGAAACACAGGAAAATCCCGTTACAAAACTGTAAACACCGGTATTTAGGTGCCGAAAATGGCCCTAAAACAGTTGGCAGCCGAATATTTCGGCAATTTGAATCCGATCGCGTCAAGAATCAATGCCGATCTGCAGGACACGAAAAACGCATACGAAGCTGAGTGGAATAAACTGTCTCTGGACGAACAAGAGCAAATCCTAACAGAGACTATCATCAAACCGGAAGTTTCCGTGCTTTACAACCAGCTGGAAGTTGGAACCAACGAGGATTTTGCAATGAAAATCGTCCTGGATGATCATTGTTCGTATCGCGACGAACATTCGGGACCGTTCAGTTTCCGATCAAGAAGCCAGAGAAACCTGACGATCTTTGCTGAACCGCCCAGAGAACCCAAAACCAAATTTGTACCAAAGGTAAGAACCCACACAGCCTTACAGTTCCCTAGTCTGACAAACCTTAATTTCTGCAGCTTAAAGTACCACCGTACACTCCAGACTTGGACCTGGTGGAACGAGGAAAAGACGCTGATAGTTTCAGTTCCAACTGCAACAGTTTGCCCAAAACGGGTCTCGACTTTTTGGACAATTGGTAGCCACTTTAAGTCTCATAAGACAGTGTATTTATAGGTTTCATATTCTACGACTGCAAATTAAATGAACAAACCGGAAAAACCTTTCGACACTCTGTATGTCCCAAACGAAACGTTTAGGTCTATATACATTTTCGCCTAATTTGCTTTTTTGTAGTAGAACATGCAGATCGAAAAATATGCAGCCCAAGTTTGGGTCGCCCTGTATTTATTTGTTCGTGTTGGTTTTTCAGGCGAATGTTTTATTTATTTTTGTGTAGTTTTCAATCGACTGAAGTCGACTGTTTGCGTGTGTTTTAAATAAAAATGCATTTTACAGTTCAACTATACAATCACTGCTTTAAGAACCTTAATCGGAAAAGATCAATTTTTTCTAACTAAAATTAGACATTTATTTTTCAATAAAAAAGCAACTTGAATAAATCTAACAAAAACTACTAAAACAAATTAACTAAAAAAACCTCTAAGCTCTTGCAGGTGGAGTATTGGCATAGCCATGCACCAAGAACACGCTCTTCTTCTTATTGGGTCCTTTCCAGCACACGTAACCAATCACAATCGTGTTTATGCCCACTAGGATGTTTAACATGAGAATGATGATCCAGGCAACTTCCAAATACAATGTTTGATCCAGATGCTTGGCACGTTCTGACGCACTGACGTCATTGTCGGTGCTCTGTGTGTGTATGGTATAAAATTGACTTTTAACTGTCACAGTGACTGATAGTTTGACGTTTACCTTGATCGGCTCCGCTCGGTTCACTTCACAGCAACAGTCGGCCAGTTTCGAGCATGCTCGGGTGCAATTTACGGTGTCCGATTGCTCCCAAGCACGAAACCCATTGACGTAAGGACTACATTTCGTGTTCGTAACTACGCAAACGCAAAAAGCGTCTAAAATATAATAGAAAAACAATAAGAAAAACGGTCAAAAGCTTCCTAATGATGACTAAATCGGAACTTTTGTCCCTGATCATTGCAGAGAAAATAAACGCTAAAAAAAAACTGACTTCACCCTCAACTTTTAAAGTTTCCTGTCAGTTAACTGAAGATGACTAAATCGAAACTTTTTCCACTTTTTCCAGCCCCAGAAAGCTGTAATGTAATAGCGCTGACAACGCTGAGACGGTTACTTACGTGAAGCAACTAGGCTGATTCTATCCACTACAACTTCAGCATTTTTGTCCTGTTTTTGGTCTGCTTTGAAGTGCTGCTGCTGATCACTCAGGGATTTATCAATTGCTCCACTTGCATGCAAAAAGTTGAAGGGTTGTGGATCAGTTTGAGGGCTGCTATCCAAGAAAGGCAAAGCTTTTGCCAATGGTCCTTCATCGTCCAGTGTCCACATGCTATCCAAGAAAGGCGGAGCTTCTGGCAATGGTTCTTCATCGTCCAGTGTCCACAACAGTTTCCGCCCTGCAGCAGGTTGTTCTGCTTCTCTTAAATTGTTCACTTCTTCTGCTGATCTTGGCCTATCTTGCTCTCTTTCCGGATCAGAAAGCTTCAAGTCTGCGACTTGATCAGTTTTGGCTGTTTCTTCCGCAGCTGCATTTTCACTTGGACTGATGTTTCCATTTCCTTCAGCAGTTTCCGCACCTCTGGTCAATCGATGCTTCTCGGCTGCCTCCATGGAATTCTGGATGATAATGGTGATGTTTTTTCCGCCTGGCGTGCTACAGGCTGGCAATGGTTGTTCGTAATCTTCGGCGGATCTTCGTTTCTTGCAGGGTGGCACATCATGAACCAGAATATAGCGGGGATCATCTGAGCCTTGCGCTCTCTTGGTTCTGTTGCTGATCTCAGTTTCGTTGGGCTGGTTCTGATGCTCTGAACCACCTTCCAACTCCAACTCATTGGTCTTCAGCTCTTTGCTTTCTGAGTCAACTTGCCCCAGTTGGCGTTTTTTGATAATATGCAACTTCTTGCCAACGTATCGCGCACTGCTGCTGAGAGTCGACACAATTCCGCCCTCAGTCTTGACGGGACTGGAACTTTACGTTAAAAAACCATTAAACAAAAAAAATTAGAAAAATAATGAAAACTTGCCTGGACCCAACCCACAACACCACAAGCACAAAAACTGGAAGCAGCTTCATGGTAAAATTCGGCCAAACAATCTGGCATAAACGTTATTTTTCGACTTAAATACTAGAGCGCCCCCGACTGACGCAGCTGCCCGACCTTTTCCAACTCATTGGAAACGTCTGGATTAGACAGAGATGCTTGCTCGGGAGGGGCAATTGAGCGAGTCGGAAGCGAGTGCAAAACGGGTACTAAAGTCCATTTTGTAAATCAATGGATGGTTTATTCAGGGGCGTGCTGGTACTTCCCTAGACAAACCGCCTCTTGAGCATTTTTTGGCTTTGTCTTTACCATTACCAATGTTTTAAATATGACAATGAGGCAATTGGCCGAGTTGGAGCGAAGCATTGATGAAGATCAAAGAATCGAGGTTGACAAAATTTGAATATTTTCAAAACTTAACAAGACTTGTTCATGTGAAGACACAGAAGTTTTTCGCATAAAATATTTGAATTATTTTGTCATTTTTCCCGTTTTCTCCCCCATGCCGGCTACTTCACTGCTTGCAAATAGTCAGGTAATGTTCTAGAACCTCTCTTATCGGCTGTTTTCGCGATTTAGTGCTGAATTGATCGATTCACCAGCTACAATTCGAAGGAATTTCAATGATAATTTTTTGCTGCTGGCTTTTATTGGTTCAACTTCCGTCCTTTCATTTACGTTTTGCACTTGCCTTTATCAATCGTTTCGCAGATAAGCCTGCACTTGGAATCGTACGCCACAAAAGTAAATTTCCACAGGAAAAACTATGAAAGTTGGCGAAATGTTCTCCACATCTTAATCTAGTGGAAAATTACTTACTTTTTGCAAAAAAAAATTCGTCCAAAGAGGGTTAGGTTTTAGGAAAAAAAGTGCTCAAGGTGAAAGAGTGATTTTTGCAATTTTGTCTCGTTAGAAATAGAAAGCCCAATTAGAAAATCAGGGTTTAGCGGCGCTTCGCCAATTTTACGCAGCTGTCAAGAGCACTAAGACACCTATAGACAGTTCCACCAATAGCGCGCACCCCAGCCAAAAGATGACGCCCATCAAAAGTCAACTTCTCCAGTTTTGGGGTTGACGTTTGCTGTCAACAAAATCGATAAACATGGTGGAAAGGGATGCGGTGTCCGGTGTTCGTTTGCAGTGTGATCGGTTTAAGGTGAGTTTTTCGTAGAATAATTGCAAGAATTTCACAGAATTCCCCCGACTAACCTAGACGAATGGGCGTGGAGCGGTAGGGACTGCATGTAGTTTTCTTTTAACTGAGAAAATGGGGTTCATACGCTGGTTTATGTGGGCGTTTGGTGGGGTTTTCGACTTGTTTTGAAACAAAACCGGAAAACTATCGGACCCGATGCTCATCCCGATGTGGGACATGGTTTTTGAAAGGGCTACGCGGATTGTTGCCCAATTTCACTGTGAAAACTTGCTCACTAGTGCAGAAAACATTATTTTATTTATCTGCCCTATTGGGCACTTTCATACTTTAAACGGCTGCTTGTTATTGCAAACGGCTAAAAACCCCAGCCGTATGTTGCCAAAGTGGACAGTTCTTCATCGGTTTTGAATATTTTTTTCAGCAATCTGAAGTCACTGTATCCCATAAAACTTCTGCGGTAAATGCAATCGACCCAAATCAATCCCGAACGAACATAAATCAACATTGATAAGAAATAATCCCATAATCATCGCGATAACATGAATCAACACGTTCTTTCAGCCGGTACCAGGCTGCTGCGCTATTGATTTGGAAATGTTAAATGTCTTCAGCATGCCTTTTACACTTTCAATTACAAGCAGCAGACAATCGACAGTGACTTATTACTTAACGATTATATAATCCGCTTAAAAAAGCCGCACAGGATAATTATTCAACTATAATGTTGTAGCTGAAATGTCGACCTTTTTCGTGCAATTTTCGTATAAAAAACCCGCACTATGCAACTTTCACCGCAACCGATTTTTTCGTTCGGTGCAATTTCTGCAAAGACGATTGCGAACAATTCATTTGAATCAGTCGGCCAATCAGTGGCGCAACAATTTGCCACCCGCCCCTTCGGGGCCAAGGCGTCGCGACGCTCTCCATCGGGAAACGACCTCATTGTCGCCACTTATCTGCTCGATTTGGCTCTTGGCAACAGGACGATGATTGACGATGTCTGTTACAATTTCTGCATCCAATTTTTAAAAAAAGAACTCGCATTCCGCAACAGTTTTCGATTTTTCCAATTATTTGCCCGCGCTCGTAGAGGAATAATCCCGAAGAGCCGCCGGATGATGGGTATTTTTGCGGATTCCGAGTGGTTTGCACGCCCACGTTGCTGAAGAAGCGGCCGCGAAGGTCGCAGCAAACGAGGTACTATAAAAACGGGTTCTAGCAGCGCAAAAATGTGGTGCCAACGTACCCGGATAGCTGCACAAGACTTCTGTGCATGCAAACGAGAACCGAGAAATTCCTTGAATTTCAACTGGCAAATGCCAACCAGTGGTTTAGAGGATGCACCAACTGAGCAAATTTCATCAATTCAATATCTTTCGATGCAAATCCCATGTACGTATTCATTATATTAGTCAAACTGCTCAGAAAGATTCACTGGTTCAAGCGATTTTCCTCTGTTTCCGAACTTGATACGTTTTTGACGTTGTTACACATTTCAAGGGTTGAAGATCACAACTGGAAAACTAACCTCAAACAGACGCCCTCAAGCAATTCAATGTTTCGGATTTGAGTCCAGATTTAGCACTAATCTTGCTATTTGGTTGCAGATTTAAATGACAAAAATTTAAGATGGAAAACTACTCGAGTAGAAGGTGGTCCGCATGCTTCCAAGACTGATTATTCTAACCACAACCCTCAAATGTGCTCAACGTTCTACTAAGGCTAACTCTGGCAAGAAACATTATTTTATTATTTCCGTAATCGAATAATTCGACTGCTGAGTCGTTGAGCTCTTCGATTTTTCCCTCCACCCACCCTCCGGCTTAGAGAAGCACATAAAATTGAGGGGCTGAGTAACAAGGACTTCTGAAACTTTATGTCCATCTGCCAGAAAAATGTTTCCCTAATCATGGGTCCTTGATAGAGGCTCATCCCGCCCTCTAGATAAACGTTTTGGTGATACTAACCATCGTTTTCATTCGAGGACGCCCAAAAACGTAAAATCTGACCAATCGAGATGAACATGAGTACTTAGTGTGTTGTCCTTAACCTAAACACGCAAAAATTGAAGATAAAAAACTACAGGGGACTCGAGTAGAGGGTGGTCCGCATGCTTCCGAGACTGGTTATTCTAACCACAACCTTCAAATGTGCTCAACGTTTTACAAAGGCAAACTCTGGCAAGAAACAACTTGCATTTATTTCCGTGACCTAATAGTTCGACTGCTGAGTCGTTAAGCCCTTCGATTTTTCCCTCCACCGACCCTCCGGCTTAGAGCAGCACACAAAATTTAGAGGCTGAGTTGCAAGGACTTCTGAAACTTTACATCCATCTGCCGGAAAAACGTTTCCCTAATCAAGTGTCTTTGATAGAGGCTCATCCCGCCCTCTAGATAGGCGTTTTGGGGATACTAACCTATTTTTTCAATCAAGAACGCGAAAAAACGTGAAATCTGACCAACTGAGATGAACATGAGCAACTAATGTGCGGTCCATAACCTAAACACGCAAAAATTTGAATTTCAACTGGCAAATGCGAACAGTGGTTTAGAGGATGCACTAACCGAGCAAATTTAGTGTCAATTCAATATCTTTCCATGCAAATCCCATGTAGGTATTCATTAAATTAGTCAAACTGATCAGAAAGATTCACTTGTTCAAGTGATTTTCCTCTGTTTCTGAACTTGATGCGTTTTTGACGTTGTTACACATTTCAAGGGTTGAAGATCACAACTGGAAAACTAACCTCAAACAGACGCCCTCAAGC